TCTTTTTTCCAGATGCAGTAAGTACTGTTTAATTACTGTTTTACAAGAGAACTTAGGTTTTGCTTGTATAGCTTTATCTTTTACTCCCCAGCACATTTACCTAAGCTGAAAACAAATTCCCAAACCCCCTGGAATGTGGCCCTATCTATCTGGGATCACAGCCTTCCATGAGAGTTACATGCTACAGAATATTCAAACCATTGACCAACTGCTGTTACTATGGTGCAAAAGAATTGTTATAGGAACCAGATCTGGGCTCTGCAATGTGCTTATCTTCAGAATGACTGTGAGATGTAACTGCCTCCACAACCAAATTCAGGCTTTTCTTTCAACTTCATTCCATCTTCTCCCAGAAACTGTATCAACCCTCCCATCATACCTACAAATCAAAATATTCACAAACTATCAACAGTGTCTTCTACAAGATGGCAATGAAGACAGAGCTGATTCCACTTTCCCGCTATTGGCATTTTGGCAATGATCGCATACTACAGATAGAGAGGCCACGTATACCCAAACACTTGACATATCATCATAATTAAATAAAGTCCTTGTCCATGGGAAGGTGGAGAGGATCCAAGATCCAAGATACACTTTGAACTTCTTTTTTAGTCTTTATGGGAAGAGCATGTCAGAAGCTGACAGCTACGCAAGAGAAATTTTAGGACAGACTTTCATACGATTCTATGTTTTAAACATCTAAAGGCTTTTTTTCCCTAGTTCCACTGTCTTTCATTGTTATTTTTTAAAAGAATCTGTTTATTGAACCTTGGCATTGGTGACCTTTCTAAGCTTCTGCCCTGGCAGATGGTACAAGCCATGTTTTCTGGAGGGCTTAGAGGGCCATTTCACAGTTTCTGAAGTAGCTGATATGCTTTATTGAATACAAGCCAAAATATGATTTGTACTCTTGCTTTGTGGGTAAAAAAGTCTCTATAGATGTCATACAGTATTTAGTAAATCATCTCCATAGATATAAATCCCCATCTGGAAAAAATGCGTAAAGGTGAGGGAGGGACGCTATTTTAAAAGCACAATCTTGATAACCAGACAAAAGAATGAGGTTGAGTGATTGAGGTTATACACTTAGCATTGCCGTAGCATTACAGACACTGTGCCACCTTCGGAAATGAACATTGTGCAAGAGAGCAGCTGAGTCATGCTGAAACTGTAATTAATAGGGACAGCTGTGATTATGAGCACAGTCGTAACTGATTTTTTTAGCTGCTGTCTGACACTCTTACATCTCCATGACTTCTACAACACTGTCATAACCAAGCATCCCTTTCCTTAGAGTCTCTTTTCTCTAGAGAGCTTGCAAGTACTTTTGAGACCTTTGGATTTGGGGGATAACAGCAGCAGCTCACACAGCATGAAATAACTGAGGTATTTATTATGACATAACAAAAGGAAAAACATTTTTCACCAGTGCTATTAGAAAAAGTCACAGCTAAGTGTCCAACATGTTTACCAGAAACAGGTATTGTGAGGAATTATGCAGAAATTAATGAGAACTGAGTAACAGAGGTAATACAGCTGATGGATAGTCTACAACCAAGAAAGAGATCAAGTGACTAAATCCATCTGTAGTTATATTGAAATCATCCGTATTCAGTATAGTGAATTTCAAAACAGGCTTTGTAAACAGAAGATTGCAATCCACAAAATTCTTAATTTTTTCTTGAACAAGTGGACCTATTTTATTTTAAAAAATATTTTCCATGGAGACAAAACACAAGAGTTTTGTTACACTAAAGCTTTATATTTCAGTGCACTATGTACCTGTGGAAGCCAGCTTCTCAGATTTATGCTTCTATACTCCCTATTAAAGGATTTTAGGCCTAATATATCAATTTCTTTGTTAATCAACAAACATTCAGGAATCAGACATGAGTATAATTACTCCATGTTTCATTTAGAAAGCCTGAGGTAAGAAGTAAAATTATCTAAATGTAAGATGTGAAATCTTACATCTGTTCTGAGCAAGCATTAAATCAAAGTACGAACGAAGTGATTAAGCACCAGCTTCATGAAACGCCTCGATAAAAAAGCTGTGAAAGACTGTTTCAGAAATAAATGAAAATAAGATGTCCAGTCGAGCCACTATCACACAATGCACTGAGAACTACGGCGTTATGAGTAATCACAAGTAAGAAGTTTTGCTCTAAGATACAAACCAGAATTTTCCTAGTTGAAGGAAGCGAATATCTGTTTATGAGGCAATAATGAACTTTTTATGGAGTTTCTAATCAGTTTGTTTTCAGCTTATTCTGATAGTAGTTAATTTCATGCCAGAGGGGCACATTTGGTGAAAGGCTTCCATTCTGCACAGCCATAAAAGGAAAAGTTCAAGTACGCTCAGTTTTCGTACAAACAAATTCATGCTGAAGTCCCAAACCAGTCTTGTAACCATCCATTTCTTAAAGTCAAACTAAGGAATTCAAGCAGTAACATCAGATTCAGCATAAATCTTTCCTGGAAAATTATTTGCATACATTAGAATTTCATTATAACGTTTGTAAAGGATAGACTGCTCCTTATATAATTACTAGCATGGTTTTGCGTTCTCTTGAGGAGGTAAAATTTAGCTTTTCACATGTTGTAAGGAAACAAAAGGCAATAATTCATTACAATCCAGCTTTACTTTTATTGCACCAGCAACCAATGCAAATTAAAGGTAGATTAAGATTTCAACTTATGAACGTTTGTTTTCACTAGGAATTTGTACCATTCAATTTTATAAATGATGCAAAATCCTATTTATTTTCTTTTAAAGAGATACAATACATTCTTCTAAAAGGTTTCACTCATGCTTTACTAGTAAATTTTTCATTCAGCCACCTCCTTCAGTCAACCATTATGGTCTCACTTAATTCCCACTCCACTGCATTGTGTTCTGGTTTGTTTCTGAGGAAACATTCCTTACTTTTTTTCTCCACAGGAAAAAAAGTACTAAGAGTAGGCAGCCTTTTTTATCATGCAGAGTGTCACCAAGTAAAGAAGTTCTGTGAAAGATTATAAGAAGCATGCTGATGATTGAAAGTTTGCCATCACTAGCCTGAGTTAAGAGAGCACTAGATGATTTCCCTGAAAGACAGAACTGACTTTCGTTGCTCATTCACACGAGAGGTCTTCCAGGTGCCAGCCACGAAAGCAGCAGTCATGCAACCCTGCGATTACAAGTGGTTTTCTCTCAAGCTGTGATCTTCAGCCAAGTAAGATATAGACAACTTCTTCATTATTCACAAAATCTGACAGGGCTTAGTGCTACGGCAATTAATTCTAGCTAGCATCGCTGCACATACTGATATGTACACTGATACACCGTCAGTATTCTCACAGAAAGCTTCACCTAGCTGGAATATAAAACTATCACTCCAAAAATTACAGCTTTTATTCAATGCTTTGCAAGCATATTGGTGACAAATGACATCTTATTTAATGGTTGTAATGTCAGCTGGTATAAAAAAGAACAGGGTACTAAGAAATACTGTGCTTCAGAGAAAAACAAACAAGCAAAAAGCCATCCACTTATCAAGACAAAATGACATCAATGTTTTCAATTCTAATTGAGACCCAGTCAAGAGCAAGGGGGAAATGCTGGCTGCTTCAGTGAGACTGTGGAGATCTGGATTCAGTTCCCAGCTGTGTAACTCGCTTTCTGAGGAGTTCAGTGCTTACGTCTGTCGTGGGAACTATGACATTTCTCTCCTTGCTACATACCCTCACCGTAGCTCAGACCAAAAGCTCCATACAGAGCTCAGCTTCACTATTCAAAGTGGATAGAATGGGTAGGGGTCATTTCAGATGAGTAATGATCACATCTGAGACTCGTATCTTGATGTATTCAAATCACAACACGCATTTAATTTTTCAGGTTTGATATAAAAAAAGAATTTAAAAACTCACCATATGTAGAAACTTTCTAAAAAATGTGGGTTACATGTAAACATCACAGTCAATATCTAAAAAGACTGGGAACTTTAAAAAGTATTATTCAAACATTGTTTCTATCTGGTTATTCTACTTCTATTTTTCTTTTCTTTAGAAAAAGTCTATTAATGTCAAATAGTCAGTCTCACCTTCCAGTCTTTTGCTTTTATGGTTGAAGAAGAAATGTGTTTTACATTTGTCTAAAAAAATTCTATCATTTCAGGCATAGTGCTTTTCTATGCTTATTGGCAACTTACTGTATTCCATCGATATTTTCCTCAGCTATTTACACCGTAACACTACAAAGATAAGCAAGGCTGGCCAAGAAAATGACAAAAGACGCCCTCAAAAGTAAAACTTTTGTATTGTGCTATGGATCACAGCCTAAAAGGTGGTAGGCATTAGAAAGAGGGAGTATTTTTAACATGAAGTAATTGTGGGTGTCCAGAATACGTTCTCTACTCAGCTGGGCAATCGCAGGTTTTAATTTCTGTATTTTTACAGGTATTATTCCATAAGGGCATGCTTTATAGCAACAATCAATCCACCTCCATAAAAGGTATAGTACTGTAAATCATTGATGGGAGATGCTGAAGACCTTCGCTCTATCCAACGTGCAGTAAACATATGAGTAAGACAAGCCTTCTCTTACAGAACTAAGCTAACCAGAAACTGAATTTCAGTATGACTGTTTTGCATCCTCTTTGCTTTTCTCAGTATACCTGCAACACGATACTAGACAGCACAGCACTACGGGACTACATTACTCTGTCCCCATAAACAGCAAGACTCTGGGTTGGAATCCCCGACAAAGAAAGAAATTATTTACCATGGCTTAGATTTGCCCTTCCATTAAAACAGAGGACCTGCTGCAGAAGAAACATACTCATTGACTGAACTTAGCTACAAAGCTGGTCAAACCTTCTTCCTCCCATTCCCACCTCAAACCCCATTCTCTGCAGATGCAGAAAGCATCACCTTCTACTTCAATTGTCATGTAATTTCCACTGTTAAAAATATGGCAGGATTGCCATCATACAAAACCATAAAAGAAACAAGGAACATACGAAGGACATAGATATTGCTTCTTCTTCCCTTTTCCTTTCTTTGAAGACTTCTCTTTGGAATAGACTTCTCCAACCAACAAGGAGAACGAGATGAAAAAGAAAACCGCTAATAAGAACTTCATCTTGCAGATTACGCTTCAGAGAAACCTTCAGTCTGTGGCAAGAGAAAAGAAAGAGCTTTACATTAGCAGGGCCAGATATGGCAACTGGGAACACATACCCACAAAACGTAAACAAATGTTGGTTTTGGTTTTGTTTTTTTAAAGTGTGATCTTAGTTGCCTTGGGAGAGAGAGTCTGTTGAGGCGTAGCTCTGATATGGAACCAACTTTGGCAATTTTCTGAGAGTCCAAGTAGCTTCCCAAAGTTAAGAGAATGACAGTGAGGAGCAGATTTAAGTGCAAGTTTGCTCCAGTGTGTTTAAGAAATAAACTCGGTGTCCTTCAAAGGCTGCCCAACTCAAAATCCTCAGGAACAGAATTCCTCACCAAAAATGTCACGTATCAACTACGTGAAACATGATTAAATGTGACCAACCAGTCATCTCAGCACGGCAGAGAACTGCAAGCCCTCTACGACCTCGCACGGACAAAACAACAACCATTTCAATGCCAGTTACCAGAAAGACTCGCGAATCTAATTTCACGCACAGAATTTAAACAGAAATCACTATTTTGCTGTGGAGCCGGCACCGCAAGGGCCTCGCAGAGATGACTAAACACAATCCGCAACACCGTGCTCCATTGCACCGTGTTCGTTTCAATGACCGGACTTCCCGGGGGCGAAGCCCGCGTCCCAGGGGCCGGGAGCCCAGTGAGCCTGGGCAGAGGCGGCCCCGCCGGGGGCTCTCCATTTGCCCCCCGCCCCCCAGACACCGACTGCCTCAGCACCAGCTGCCTCTGACATTTTTATGTCGTTTATCTATTTTTA